AAACTCAAGTTGAAGTTTCCTTGTGTGATGTCGACTTGATAGCCTCTCCTGAATTAACAAGTACATCACATCATTATTCTACTTTATATATTGACACACTCAATAAATAAAATCTATCCAATTATCCTTTCATTTATCAAAATAAAATTTAGAGAGGAACATGAAAATTTCCTTCTTCTATAAATTTCCTTTATACTCTTCCAATTTTCACATTGTAACACAATTCATTTCATCATTCAAATCAATATATATATATATATATATATATATATATATATATATTTTTTTATCATCTAGCTTAAATATCATCTCTTTCCTATACAATCTTATCATTTTATCAAAATTCTTAAATTTTTTTTCTTCAAAAAATCCCTTTTCCAAGAACACCTAAAATTTTGCTTCAATTACCATAATTTCTTACTTTCTTTACTCTTTTCAATAATATTAACATAATTTCACAATCAATTGTAATTTTTTCTAAAATTTATCATGAACCCTAATTCCTCATTTTATAAAGGTCAATCAATTAAAAGTATAAATTCTTCAAGAATCTTATTTAAAAGTGTGAGGGTACCGTACCAAGCAATAGCCAAAGCTTTAACACTTTTAAATTAAGAAATTCTCCTAACTTGAATTTATTTTTCCTCTCCTAGCCGAATGCTTCCTTCTCTTTGAAAAAAAAAATTGTTTTTTTTTTTGTTTCCTTATGACATACACTCACTTGCACGCGCGCACACACACACTCTTACACATATATAATTACTAAACATTTTTAGTTTTTTTATATCACTCAATAGTAAATTTTATGATTTTTGAGTAAGATTTTCTAAATCCTGACGCCTGTTTATATCAAATTTTACCTGGGTTATTTTGAATTTCACTAAGTTACTCGTTGATACTTTCAGTTTCATGAAATTCACTTCCATAAAAATTGTATTCATATTTTCATGTTTATTTATTTATTTATATTTATTTTTTACATATTTTAAGACTCAAACAAAACATTTCAAATTCAGATTCTCAAATATATTATTGTTCTTATAATTTAATTTATCACTTTCCTTTATTTTTTATAATCTTGACTTTTATTAATATCAATAATATTACCTGAGCGTTCTTATAATTTAATTTATCAATTTTCTTTATTTTTTATAATCTTGACTTTTATTAATATCAATAATATTACCTGGGGTTTTAGATTTAAGTACTCATCAAAGACCCTATCCTCATCCATGAACAATAAAAGACTTTGAATTTGAAAGGATGGTAGAAATCTATTAGATACATGTTATTTTATTATGGAAAACTGGACCCATCAACCACCACTCACATTTAGTGCGCTAAGAAGGTCAAAATATCCCAATCCAAAATTGCTCCCTTAGTAGATGAAGAAGAAAGAAGAGATGCTCATTGTCAAAATAAAATATAGTTATGTTTGGATATATAATGTCAATTCTTGAATGAAGCATAAACAATAAAAAGGATAATTTATTTAGACTAGCCGAGGGGCAAATGACAACTATGTTTAGATGATCAGGATAATTTGCAAATTTAGTGAATTCAAAAGGAATTAAAAGTATTGGTAAGAGACTGACCCTTTCTTGCTTTTTAATTATTACACAAGTTTTTATAAATGTTAGAATAACAATGAAAATTAAATTTTATAGTGTATTTGACACGATCAAAGAATTGATGTCTTATCCTAAGTGCAGGAGTGTCAAAGTAAAATAACCCGGCAAGACCGGGGTCGAACCACAGGGAGGTGAATTATATAAATTACAAATAAAGAAAAAGATTTAAAGAGAATAATAACAGAAAAGGAGTTGAAGAAAGTTTTGGGATGTGATATTGATGTAAGGATTAAACAATAACAAAACATATGTCAAGGTTATAGGATTCACTAATGGTATTTCAAATAAATATAATATAAACTCTTTTTATTACTCAACTAGAAACCACACACAAAGGAGGTTCTAATCGGATGATTTCTCGTTATTAGCTCATTATAAATTACTAACATGATCATATTAATTATCTTATATAAGTAATACCATACTTATAAATATCATCAAGCATTCATGTTGCTAGTTTATGTTAACAACAAATCAAGTTTCTATCATAATAACGATTTCGGCCGAAAACTATGAAAGATCAAGCATTTGATGTACCAAATATTATACAACACAAATCTAAATTAAACATTTAATAAGCAAGGTATTAAGAATTAGTAAGATAAAAAGATAAAACATGTTAATAACAATCTTTCTTGGATATAAACATTTAAAGCTCATGTTGAGTTTATATTATACCTATTCTAACACCATTAGAGAAACCTTTTCACCTTGACATAATTAACTTAGCTAAACATTAAGAAGGAGAAAAACACAAATAAACAATATAAGAACATAAACATAATATAAGCTAACTAAGTATAGGAAAGGAAATGAAAGAGCATAAACAAGAGATTACTATAGCATAAAAGAAAACTTGAACATTACAAAGATGTAGAGAGAAAGCAAGAAGATAACTTTGATCTGAAAATTAATATGACTAAATACATGGACAATGCCTCCTTTTATAGGCTAAGTTTCAGAACTATTGATTGATTGAAGAATTGGTGGGCATCCATTGATTTGGTGGCTGGTTTTTGACATTAATGGCTGCTGGTTTTTTGATATTGTGGGCTGATTTTTGATATTGTTGGCTGGCCAAAACGTCATTGCTCACATCAGAATTATAGCCAACTGAATTGTGGAATCTGTGGGCAATTGTCTCAGCTTTCCATCAAAAAAAACCAGAGCTCATTTGGACTTCTAGAACTCAAGATATGAGCCAAAAACCGAATAGTGCTTGAGCTGCAGGACAGCTTCCGACGTCTTCGTTGTTGCTAAGATTTGGGCTTGAAAACGGCAGAACTGAGTCTTTGACTTCATATGAAAGTTGTAGGTCTATGTCTTACCTTTCCATCGATATAAAATGGACCTAAATCTGATATCTACAGCTCCAGATATGATCAAATTACTGAACGGTGTTCGAGTTTGGAATGCACCAGCAACACTTTGCTAAGTTTGGCCTTCTTTTTATCCTTTCAATTTCAATCCTTAAACTCATCAATCAATCCTTTTATTTATGTGATAGACTTGCATTTAGGATGAACATTTATCATGAATTAAAGGTATATTATATTTTGACTTGCTAATATAAAACATGCTTTTGTTAGGGAATTTAATGATACTTTAGGTGCAATATGATGACATAAATCCTTAATGAGAATGCACTTTTAAGTACTAATCAGTATTCTTATTATTATTATTGATGGAAGGCATATGCCTTTGAAGTAGAATTTGGTTTGTAATTTGTAATTAATCATATAAGCAAAAGTTCATGGTATGTTATATGAATATGATTTGACCGTAATAATGTGAAAACCTTGTATATATTACCTTTGATAATAACAATAAAATTTCTATGTAAGAATTATTACCAACCACAACAATAAAAATTATGTTGGAAAATTTAGATGATGAGACTCTAAGATAACTAAAGTGTAAGATAGCTAGTAGATAAATAGATATTGTTGTGAAGCAGATGCTTGACACCTTGATATGATAGTATTTAATAAAGTAAATATGCTTTCATTAAATGTGAAATGTTCTTCTTTAATATTTATACGGGTGAAACTAATTATCATGTAATGGAGCTAGTGTAGTAATGAGAAGTGAAACCACTTACCTGGTAATAATGTTAGTAACTTTGCATGATATTTGTTTGCCTCTTATTTTATTTAATCAATTTCATGTATTTATTTTTATTATCATTTAATTAAATAAAAAAATTAATTTTTATGAACAAAGTAGTTAAATATAACTATGTCAAACAATTAAGTTGTGAGGTCAAATATGTTGATCTATATCCTATCAAACAATTAAGTTGTGAGGTCAAATATCTTGATCTATATCTTACTCTTAATTTTCTAATTTTCATCTTTATTCATTATTAATGAATTTTTATTTATTTATTAATGTATATAATTTTTAATTTAATTTATTTTATTAGATGTACACAAGTTTTTTATTTTTTAATTTTTATATAAAAAACAACTTTAAAAAACTTGCATATTTTTTCTTTTTAAAAATAGTTTAACTAGTTTGTAGTGACTTAAATGTGTGAAATGAGTACCAGCAAGATAGCTCAGATGATGTTTGAAAGTATAGTTGCGGTTTTTTTGACATGTTTTTTATTCGAAAATATATTAAAATATATATTTTTTTATTTTTAAAAAATTATTTTTGACATCAACATATTAAAATAATATAAAAACATAAAAATATTTATTTTAAAAAATAAAATTTTAATTTTTCGTTTTGTAACTTTTAAAACACGAATTGGTCCCAAATCCATGGCCTCCCATCCACCCGCCATTTAAATTGTCACTTTGCTGTATCTTAACAATGCTCTAAATAAAGAAAAGAGAAACCAAAGCCAGTTCATCCCTCCAGTCTATTTTCTATTCCTTTCCATCTTCCTCCCGAAAACCACTAGCAGAAATCATGATAGTTCGTCCAAGAAAAAGAAACAGAAAACATTTCGTCCAAGAAAAAGAAACAGAAAACATTCTTTTATACAGAACCACACACCATAACATAGGAGGATCATATCCTCTCCATTTCCTTCTAGAAGTCACTAAAATCCAGAGAGAGAGAGAGGATAATATGTTTCAGCAGATAACAATTGAATGTGATAATCCATGTCCCCTCTATTCTCCTTCATTTTTCAATACATAATACATAAACAGAGGATAACAGAGACAAACAGAGCAACCCCATTTGAATTCAATGCAATCATCATTCACATTCTCTCAAAACCTCATAGGGTTGTTTGTAATATTTATTTTAATTCTCTTTCCTTTTTCATCCGCCGATCGCAAGTCCGAAACCAGCCTTATCTGCGGCTCGTCTAAGCACATGGACAATTCCTACGTACCAAACATTGTGAAAGTCATGGATTCTCTCCAAAAACAGGTCGGTTCTCGGAACTGGGGATGCGATTTCATCACCTCCCCATTGCTTCAGATATATGGATTAGCCCAATGTCATGATGATCTTTCTAGTCTTGATTGCAAAATCTGTTTTTTCCAAGGCAGAGTCAAACTCCCACGTTGTCTCCCTGCCACTTCTGCTCGTATCTATCTTAATGGTTGCTTTATTCGTTACGATAAATATAACTTCTTTCATGAAGCCATTGATCCCATGAATGATGCTGTGGTATGTGGTGAGCCAACAAATGCTTTGACAGATAACTTTTTGCACATGGAGTTCAAGCAACGCTTGGCAGTAGCGATACAGAATGTCACTGCAATGGCACTCGGGAATGGAAAATTTGCAGCTGCGGAGGCAAAAGGAAGAATTTTTTCCATTTATGCATTGGCACAATGCTGGAATACGCTTGATAAGGACGAATGTAGAAAGTGCCTGGTGAAAGCAGGCTCAAAATTAAGTCAATGTGCTCCTGGCTCGGAGGGCAGTGCCTTTTTTGCTGGTTGTTACATGAAATATTCTACACATCATTTTTTTAAGGAATCCGTGGAATCAAAAGCTCGTTATGGTAAGATTGTCTCTCTTTGATTAAATTTGTATGGTCTTGAATTTTTTTTCTGTTGGTTTTTATGGTATGTAGTCTATGTTAACACTATTTGTTTTGTCTTGAATGTGCTTTACTGTCGCAACATGTTTTGCTACCTTGTACAGACAACACTGGAATCGTAGTAGCAGTTACTTTATCGACAGTTGTGTTCGTCGTGCTAGCTTCTTTTGGTGCTTTTATAGGGTATGAGAGATTGTCAAAGAGGAAAGGAGGTGAAATTGCAACCAAAAAACTATATGTCCTTGATGAGCTATCAATTTCAAATTTATCCATTTCTAACTTGTTCTGCTCTTTCTTATGCCTAGACAAAACCAATCTCCGCCTTTCACCCAACTCTAGTTTAAATTTCACTTATGAAGTGCTTGAGAAGGCAACTGAGTATTTTGATGACTCGAGGAAATTGGGCCAAGGAGGAGCTGGTTCTGTTTTTAAAGGAACTCTCCCAGATGGAAGAACGGTTGCAGTTAAGAGATTGGTCTATAGTACAAGGCAATGGGTTGACCAGTTCTTCAATGAAGTTAACTTGATCAGTGGTATTCAACACAAAAACCTTGTCATCCTTTTGGGTTGCAGCATTGAAGGCCCTGAGAGTCTTCTTGTTTATGAATATGTACCTAACAGGAGCCTTGATCAGATTCTTTTCAGTAAGTCAATCTACATTTCAATGTCAGTGTTTTCGTTTCCTAGATGCCCACTTTGATTTTCCTTTCTAATTCGATTACCATGTTAAACATTGCTTAAAAATCCTTGAGCTTTCTGCCAAAAATCGTGCCAACAATAATTTTAGGACAAAAGAGGATGTAGAATGCTTGAGGTCTATTTATCCATAGTAGTAACATGATCTTCATTTGTTGCAGTTAAGAACACGTTACATATTCTCAACTGGCAGCAGCGGTTTAATATTATCCTAGGAACAGCCAGAGGACTTGCATATCTACATGGAGGTTGTGGAGTGACTATCATTCATAGAGATATCAAAACTAGCAACATTCTTCTTGACGAGAAGCTTACTCCAAAGATTGCTGATTTTGGACTTGCACGTTGTGTTGCCACTGACAACACCCATATTAGCACTGGCATTGCAGGAACGTTGTAAGAAATGAACCTCTTATATACAAGTATTGGTTACTTATTGTCTACATATTCTTTTCTTTAAAAGCACATCGGCCATTGATTTCGCTATCGTGTGTGATTTATGGAGTCATGCTAGAAGGGGAACTAAGTTTCAATATAACAAAAACCAACTCAGAATTAAAATCACAATATAATAAACAGAGTTGAAACATCGTTTGTTGCTTCTAAATCACGATTATTCGTTTGCAGGGGATATATGGCTCCTGAATATCTTGTTCGAGGGCAGCTAACAGAGAAAGTTGATGTTTATGGTTTTGGGGTTCTACTTCTTGAGATTGCAACTGGTAAAAAGAACAGTGTGTTCTCACAGGGATCAAGTTCAATTCTGCATTCTGTAAGATTCTTATTGCTTTGGAGCAAAGATATTCTTATTGAAATTTCTCAGGTGTTTTCAGTGTAAAAGCTTTTTAGAAATGTGGAAATCATTTCCACTTGATCATTGAGACCTTTGCTGAAAACTTCTCGACGATCTCGAGTGCGATATGTAACTTAGAGTGTTTTACGGTAAGAATGTGTTGCATGCCTATTGACAGTGTTTTTCATCATACTGATATCAGGTTTGGAAGCATTACAAAGCCAATACAATTACAGACATGGTTGATCCTGGTTTAAGAGGTATGTTTTCCCAGAAACAGGCAGAAAAGGTGCTTCAAATTGGTCTTCTATGCACACAAGCTTCTTCAAGGCTAAGACCGTCCATGAATGGAGTAGTACAGATGCTCACCGATGCCCAATGTCAAATCCCCTCTCCAAAGCAACCTCCATTCCTGAATGCTAGCGTTCTTAGTCCAGATGGCAATGCAGACAGCTGCATCACGGAAGTATCACTTACATGTAATTCAGTGGTAAATCAGCAAACAACCTCTCATGTAACACTCTTGGGTGACCCCTCCAAATTCAGGCGCTACAGATAGTCCCAGATCAAGAAATTCTTCAACACTTGAACAACCTGAGACAACGTAGATCCTGTCAAATACTCTTCACAAGTATTGGAATATGCACCCTTTTGTATCAAAGATACGCAACTGGTCAAGATCCACCTCGATTCTCTAGCAAGAACGAGAAGTGGGTTCAGTGAGATTCCATCGGGATCCTACTAGTAATTTTATTCGTTAGACTCCCTGAGAAGTGCTAGCAAAATGAGATGTGATTTGGAGTTGAGGACATGGAAGTTAAAAAACTTTGTCCATATGAAATGGATAGACAATATTGAAAAATATAGTGTAGGTGCTGCTTTTTGTGAACAAGAGCAGTAGTTATGAATCATAAATCATAATGTTGTAAACTTGTTTAACATACTATGGTATTTAGACATAAACACATAGTGTATCAGACTTTAGAGTATGATTTATTATTCTTGTTCATAAAATTATCCATATAGAATAAGATTTTTGAAAGTTATGTTCCGTAATAGATAATTTTTTATTTGCTTGGAAGGTTTTAAGCAAGATCATGTTTTTTCATCCTTATACTATTAATTGATGAAAGAATCCATTGATATAAACACTTATGAGGCTTATGTATTAGTGAATAAACATAAAGGTATGTAATGAAAAAAAAAATTAAAAATTTAGAATTATTATAGAATCATAAAAATGGTAATAAAATCATGATTTTCATGATTTTATACAATTTTATGTAATTTCAGTATGATTTTACTTGATTTTACATAATAAATATATGTTGAGTACAACTCTCAATTTTAACATTATTGCTTTCATATATTAACCTTCATATACACATATGCTAGTTATATATAAATATAAAATTTGAAAAAGCAAATATATTTATACATGGTAAGGAATAAGGACCATGTGAAAGCTAATTAACTTTATTTTAATTTTTATATGGTTGTGTCTACTTGATATATCATCTTTGCATGTTTAATTTATTTATAATTTTAAATTGTTTGATGATTGCTTATATTGAATTTATCTGAGTTAGTTGATTCAATTGATTCAAGTACAATCTAGATCTCAAACCAAAATGAATAAAATGATGGAGTGTTCTCTTTGTTTGTTATTATTTTTATTTTATTTATTTTATTTATTTGATTTAGTAGTTTTCTTAAATATAATTTCCATGACACTGAGTATATTAATATTATTAGAAAGTCTTGTTTTTTATGGTTTCTTTTGCGAAGATCATCGTAATATATATATAAACATATGAAGTTTGATTCTTTATTTGATCATATGTTAGACAACTTATGAGATTTTTTATAGAAAAATCATAATGTTGTAAACTTGTTTAACATACTATGGTATTTAGACATAAACACATAGTGTATCAGACTTTAGAGTATGATTTATTATTCTTGTTCATAAAATTATCCATATAGAATAAGATTTTTGAAAGTTATGTTCCGTAATAGATAATTTTTTATTTGCTTGGAAGGTTTTAAGCAAGATCATGTTTTTTCATCCTTATACTATTAATTGATGAAAGAATCCATTGATATAAACACTTATGAGGCTTATGTATTAGTGAATAAACACAAAAGTATGTAATGAAAAAAATAATAATTAAAAATTTTGAATTATTGTAGAATCATAAAATGGTAATAAAATCATGATTTTCATGATTTTATACAATTTTATGTAATTTCAATATGATTTTATTATTTTTTGATTTTACTTGATTTTACATAATAAATATATGTTGAGTACAACTCTCAATTTTAACATTATTGCTTTCATATATTAACCTTCATATACACATATGCTAGTTATATATAAATATAAAATTTGAAAAAGCAAATATATTTATACATGGTAAGGAATAAGGACCATGTGAAAGCTAATTAACTTTATTTTAATTTTTATATGGTTGTGTCTACTTGATATATCATCTTTGCATGTTTAATTTATTTATAATTTTAAATTGTTTGATGATTGCTTATATTGAATTTATCTGAGTTAGTTGATTCAATTGATTCAAGTACAATCTAGATCTCAAACCAAAATGAATAAAATGATGGAGTGTTCTCTTTATTTGTTATTATTTTTATTTTATTTATTTCATTTAGTAGTTTTCTTAAATATAATTTCCATGACACTGAGTATATTAATATTATTAGAAAGTCTTGTTTTTTATGGTTTCTTTTGCGAAGATCATCGTAATATATATATAAACATAAAAAATAAAATCAAGTAATATATATATAGTGTAGTATTGATAAACGAATAACTTCAATTAAATAATATTTTTGTTTGTCCAAATTTAAATTTAAAGTTTAAATAATATCTTGATTAATTAAGAAAATTTCATGATCCCTAACATACATACATATATATATATATATATAAATCAAAGCTTAGATAATCATTCTAATATTTAAATAAAACTAATCAAGAACAACAACAAGTCATCATGCAATGCATTCATCATGGGTTGAGAATTAAACTAAATAATAAATATTAGTAGCGTATCTGTAGAAATTAAACTTTCAAGGATTTACCAACCATTAAAATCAACAAAATTAGGGGCTTGATTGCTCTAAATAAGACATAACAAGGACTGATGAGGAACCACTCGTTGTGTATTTGGCAGTGTACCTTAAGGTTACTGGTGACACATCGAATGTTTATGGGGCTTCGAGTGGCGGTGCTAGACAAGCATGGCTTGAAGATCCTTCTTTTTTCTCTTCATCTCTTTCACCATTGATGTTGTAACCTTCTTAGTAAATCCTAAATGGTATCAGAGCAGGGACTCTTCAGACCAAGAAAATGGCTTATACACCATTTTTAAAGAGTCGAAGGAATCTATAGAATCTATCAATAAGGAACAAGCACATAATCATGGCCAGGTGATGAAGCTATTGGACTTTAATGAACAAAAAATGAAAAATACAAGGTATAACTATGAAATCAAACTTGGTGAATTAAAGGTCCCCATCAGTAGGTTGACGTACCAATAAACATCTATTCTTTAGGCCTTGTAACAAGCTACTGGGGAGTCTAGTGCCAACAAGGAGAAACACACACTACAGGTTAATGCTACAACTACTCAAATCAATCTTCCTTGTGAAGGAGAACCTACTTACCACAAGGTGTATAAGCCTAAAGGTGGCTTTTCTACTTTTTTTAAGGCGAGGATGTCCATAAATGGCTATTTAAATGTAACCAAACTTTGAAATAGATTAAGTAGAGGAGTTAGACAAACTCAAAATGGCTTCTTATTACTTGTTTGAGGTTGCTTTATACTGACACCAAAATTTCATGAAAGGTGTGGGAAATGAAAGGGTTACTTGGGGGGTTATTTAGAAGCCCTATGTGCTAGGTTTAAGGGCCAAAAGGATCCATTAAAAGATCTTATGGAGCTTAGGCAGGTTGAGAATCTGTATAGGATCCATTAAAAGATCTTATGGAGCTTATCTGGAGACTTACATTCAATACTTTGATGTTCTATGGAATAGAGCTGACATTTAAGATAAACAAGCATTGGTATTTTTTTGTAGGTGGTCTAGATATGGAAATAAAAATCTTTTTGAAGATGTTTGAACCCAAAGCCTTAAAAAAAGCATACCACCTAGATCATTTATAGGAAAACACTTTATCCTATAGATGCAACCATTGAAATCCTACCAAATACCCTTCTCAAACTATCTCATACTCTTCCTACACTAGAGTACTCAACTCCTTCCTTACTCATCTAAAAAATTCCTCTACATAAAAACTAAACAATACCAAAATTTCTCATGATGGCATGCTATTTACACCCCCTCCAAACCTTATTAACAAAAACCCCATCAAAACCACCAAACCGTTGAGGAGTAAAGAGTTAGAATAGAGGAGGGTATAGGGCTTATGTTTTTGGTATGATAATGAATTTATGCTAGGGCATAAGTGCAGGAACAAAAGGCTTTATTCTCTTTGTATCATTAATGATGATGGAGAAGACACTGGAGATGTGGAAACTGAGGTAGAAGATCAGAACTTGAGAGCAATTACCCTTCATATATCTATAAATCTTTAGAAGGTATTAATGGGTTTCATATCCTTAAAGTGACTGTGGTAAGGTTAGCAAGCATTCTCTTTTTATTATGGTTGATTCTAGAAGGACTCGTAACTTTTTATGTTGGCACTGTGAGATTTGATACAACCTTTCATAATTGAAATTGATGCACCCGGGAATGGTATACGGGCAGTGTTGATGCAAGGTGGTAATCCTATAGCTTTTGTTAGTAAATGTTTGGTTCCAAGACAACAAGCTCTATCTATATGAAAATGAGATTCTAGCTATCCTACATAATATATCTAAGTGGAAACACTACTTATAGGGCATATATTTTCACCATCCGTACTGATCAATTCACTCTCAGATACATCCTAGAGCAGTGGTTGTCTTATCTTTCCCTACGCTAATGGATGACAAAACTTCTAGGATTTGAATATGATATCGAATATAAAAAGGGCAGGGAGAATGTAGTAGCTGATGGATTTTCCAAGAGTTCTAGTTGTGGAGTTTTTACTATGGTAATATTGTCTATGGTTTCTACTACAATTATAAATGAGGTTAGGAAATCATAGGAGCAGCATAGTATGGTGCAAGATATTATAAAAACATCTACAAGATAATTCTAAGTCTCACCCTTATTATAAATGGCTGAATTACCATTTAAATAGAAAGGGACAAGTAGTAGTGGGTAACGTGGAGGAGTTTAAACAAAAATGGATGATAGGAGACTCGCCAAACCAATGTTCTAAATGGCTTCCTTAGCTGAGTGCCAATACAATATTAGTCACTATACGTCTACAAGGACTAGTCCTTGTGAATATGGCTAAGTACCCCCTTTTCATTCTCCATATTTTCCCAGGGGCTTTAACATAGCTATTATGGATGAGTATTTAACAAACATAGAAGACATGCTCAGGGCACTCAAGAAGAACCTATAGACAGCTCAGCACCGAATGACTCAACTAACAAGAAGAGGAGTGAACG